ACAATAATTAAACTACTCACTCTAATTATCTGTTTAATCATACCACAGTGTTACAATAATTAAAATACTCACTTTATCTGTCTGCTTAATTCCATCACAGTGTTACAATAACTAAACTTCTCACTCTAACTATCTGTTTCATTTCATCACAGTGTTACAATAATTAAACTACTCACTTTATCTGTCTGCTTAATTCCATCACAGTGTTACAATAATTAAACTACTCACTCTAATTATCTGTTTGATCATACCACAGTGTCACAATATTTAAACTACTCATTCTAACTGTCTGCTTAATTCCATCACAGTATTTCAATAATTAAACTTCTCGCTCTAATTATCTGTTTAATTCCATCAAAATGTTACAAAAATTAAACTACTCACTCTAACGGTGTGTTTGATTCCATGAGTGTGTTACAATAAATAAACTACTCACTCTGTCTGTTTGATTCCATCGCAGTGTTACAATAAATAAACTACTCACTCTAATTGTCTGTTTAATTCCATCACTGTATTTTAATACTTAATCTATTCACTCTAACTGTCTGTTTACTTCCAACACAGTGTTACAATCATTAAACTATTCGTTCTAACTGTCTCTTTAATTCCATCACAGTGTTGCAATAATTAAACTACTCGCTCTAACTGTCCGTTTAATTCCATCACAGTGTTAAAATAATTAAACTACTCACTCTAACGGTCTGTTTATTTCCATTACAGTATTACAATAATTAAATTACTCACTCTGTCAGTTTGATTCCATCACAGAGTTATAAAAATTAAACTACTCACTTTATCTGTCTCCTTAATTCAATCACAGTGTTACCATAATTAAACTACTCACGTTAATGGTCTGTTTAATTCCACCACATTGTTACAATAGTTAAACTACTCACTTTAGCTGTCTGCTTAATTCCATCACAGTGTAACAATAATTAAACTACTCGCTCTAACTGTCTGTTTAATTCCATCACAGTGTTACAATAATTAAACTACTCACTCTGACTGTTTAATTCAATCACAGTGTTACAATAATTAAACTACTCACTCTGACTGTTTAATTCCACCACAGTGTTAAAATAATTAAACAACTCACTCTGTCTGTTTAATTCCATCACAGTGTTACAGTAATTATACTACTCACGCTAACTGTCTGTTTCATTTCATCAAAGTGTTTTAATAATTAAATTACTCAATCTAACTGTTTAATTCTATCAAAGTGTGTCAATATTTAAGATACTCATTCAAACTGTTTAATTCCATCACAGTGTTACAATAATTAAACTTCTCACTCCAACTATCTGTTTCATTTCATCAAAGTGTTACAATGATTAAACTACTCACTCTGTCAGTTTGATTCCATCACAGTGTTACAATACTTAAACTACTCACTTTATCTGTCTCCTTAATTCCATCACAGCGTTACAATAACTAAACTACTCACTCTAACGGTCTGTTTAATTCCATTACAGTGTTACAATAATTAAATTACTCATTCTGCCTGTTTAATTCCATCAGAGTATTTCAATAATTAAACTTTTCACTCTACATGTCTGTTTAATTCGATCACAGAGTTTCAATAATTATATATTCACTCTAAATGTCTGTTTAATTCCATTACATTATTAT